CATAAACTGCTTGATAAACGAATTAGGTTTGAACAATTCACTTGGAAACTCAACATATACCCCCACGACACTTATTAAAGAGGAAATCCTTGATAGTTAATAAAATATGTTTAAAATTAAAAAAAAAAAAAACAAAAGAACTGGAGCTTCCATCACTGTATTGGATACCTAAACTACACAAGTGTCCTTACAAACAACGGTATATTGCTGGGTCTTCCAAGTGCTCCACGAAACTTCTTTTTAAATTATTAACATCAATTTTATCAACAATCAAAGCCGGGCTTCAAAGTTAGTGTGAAACTGCCTATTCTAGAGGTGGCGTTAATCAGATGTGGATACTTAAAAATCCCAAAGATCTTTAAGAATACATATAATCTAAGCATCTTTCATCTTGCAATTGTATTAAAATATTTGACTTTTCTTAACTTTACAAAAGTATTCCCCATTCCAAACTGAAAGACAAATTGAAATAATTGGTATTGCTTTGTTTCATAAAAAAGAATGGCCAACGTAGATACAAGTATCTTGTCTTAGGGAGGGATAAATCCTACTTTGTAAAGCATCACTCTGATTCAAACAAAAAGTTATCTGAAACTGACATTATCAAGATGCTTGATTTCTTTATTGACAACATATTTATTACTTTTGGAGGACGTGTTTTTCAACAAACTATCGGCATTCCCATTGGAACCAATTGTGCCCCTCTTCTTGCCGACTGGTTCATTTATTCTTATGAGGCTGACTTCAAACATGAAATTCTTAGGAAGAAAGAAAAGAAGTTAGCACTATCCTTTAACTTTACTTTCCGCTATATAGATGATGTTCTCTCACTAAATAATTCAAAATTTGGTGACTATGTTGAACGCATCTATCCCATCGAACTAGAGATAAAGGATACAACAGATACATAAGTCTCCCTCATATCTTCGCTTACATCTAGAAATTGACAATGAGGGTCGGTTGAAAACAAAACTTTACGACAAAAGAGATGATTTCAGCTTCCCAATTGTGAACTTTCCATTTCTATGTAGCAACATTCCAGCAGCGCCTGCATACAGAGTATATATCTACCAATGGATACGATATTCCCGGGCTTGTATTTCCTATCATGATTTCCTTGATAGAGGGTTGCTGCTCACAAGGAAGCTATTAAACCAAGAGTTCCAAATGGAGAAGTTGAAATCATCCCTTCGTAAATTTTACGGACGCCATCACGAGTTGGTTGACCGTTATGGAATATCCGTTTCACAGATGATATCGGATCTGTTCCTTATGTCTTTACTACAATCACGTTCCCTTTTTACAAATGTGACCTACCGAATTAGACTATTTAACGGGTTTGTAATAACAAGAGCAACACGACGGGTGCAACATGTAGAGCAGGATCTGCTTACCCTTCCGGAGCACCTGAGATCACCCCCTGTTTTTTGTGGGGTTCGTGTTGATTAGTCTTTAGTTTTCTATGTTGTGTCTTGTGTACTATTATTCGTCTGTTTGTCTTTTTCCTTTTTAGCCATGGCGTTGTCAGTTTATTTTCGATCTATGAGTTTGAATGTCCTTCTGGTATCTTTCGCCCTTCTTTTCCAATCAACTACAATAATTCAAGGATACCAAAGCAACTGCTACAACAATAAAAATGAAAACCAAGCTGGCAGAAACAACAAGATACAGAAACCTGTAAGTTATTAAATATAAGTAGTAAAGCGTACCTACTTAGCATGCAATTAGTTAATCCCCCAGCCCCTGTACCAAGTAAGGAATATGACAGTTGTTTTTAATTTGTTTGATGTGTTTGAGCTTTTGATTTTGCCATTTGAAAAAGAACTTTCCGTTTTGAATTTTCCTTGGAAATTAGTATTTTTGCTAATTTACTTTTTACACTCTGATATGAAATCATGTTATTATGATGTACTAAAAACTGATATGAAATCATGTGATTTTTACTGATATGAAATCATGTGATTTTTTTACTGATATGAAATCATGTGATTTTTTACTGATATGAAATAATGTCGTTCTGATATACCTTAAACTGATATATATGAGATCATGTGATTATTACTGATAGTGATATGCAATCATGTCATTCTTACGTACTTAAAACTGATATGAAATAAAGTCAGTCTAAAGTACTAGTCATGCTGTATTTTAATAAAAGGTATATCTAGTCAGCATTCTGCTTTTACACCTTGGGTTTAACTCTTATATTGTTCCTGTTGAACAAGAAACTATACAAAAAAAATTACAAATGAAATTTAAAAAAATCACTTTATCATATCATAAAAACTTAAATTACATGGGGAATATACCTAAATAGGACAGCAACCCAAAACACTACGAAAATAGAATTACTTTTGGTGGTAAATGTGCATTCTTGAGTGAAAAAATATTTGTTTTATAAATATTTCAAGCTTCAAATGACACACTGAATATAGAATACATATAATATGGTTAGTTGTGTAAGTATACACTTTTACTTTAATCCGAATATATTAAGTTGATGTCTTCACCCGAATGATTTTTTTTTTTTATTAATTGTACCAGCTATGTTTCAATCCTGGCATATTAGATGCCTGATTCATTAAAAAACATTGATTAATATGTATATAAGATAAAAGGATTGAAAGACAATTCTAGGAAAATACAGTCAAATCTCTATACAATTTACCGCTCTGTTTGATTAATAATTGTAACAAGTATACAGCTATGGATTATTTATATCAAGAACACACAGTTTTCCATATGTTTGTTTTCATTAGTCAATTACACAGCTCAGGTTGCTCAATAATTTACCAATCTTGTATCCTGAAAATTTTTCGTCGCAATATAATTTCCGATTTGGAGTTTAGATATTTTGAGACACTATCACATTTCCCTATTTCTTCTCTGACATGCAGCATATTTTTATAGATATCCTATTATGGTTAAGACAAATTAGGTTTAATAATACTCTTTACATATACTTAACATCCAAAAAACTATACATTTTAGATGAAGTATGTACTCATTTCAGGTTAAGGATTTTTTTCAGATGTTCGGACTCCTTGGGTTTTTTCCTTCGATACAGGGTAAAATATTTTGCCCCATTTCACCCACTTTTATTTTCATAGATATGTCATTTACCAAACGTTATGCAGAATCTAGATTACTTTTCTTACGAATTGAGACCCAATTAATGCCAAGGTGACCTCAACATTGTCAAATAACACTTCCCTGCGAAATGTGTTATCCAAAGGTCCGAAATATCGTGACCCTAAATCCATCAATACATGCAATAGGAAACACAACTTCAAAATACTGAGGAATTCAGTCGGAGATTATGACAGGCAATGGGTTAAACGCAAGAAAGAAGACGTAGATACTATTTCCGAATGGATTAAGGCTGTGAGGTCGTTGATACAAATCAGAATTGAGATACTGAATAGGTCTATCAATACCCATGCTACGTCAATCTTTAAGACCCAAATGTTGCAAAACACTTGTCCTACCTCCATGAAAAATATGTCAATGTCCCAGTAGATAAAGCCCCAAACAACATCGTTTTTGTGTGTAAATCTCATTACATAAACTGCTTGATAAATGAATTAGGTATTGACAATTCACTTGGAAACTCAGCATATACCCCCACGACAATTACTAAAGAGGAAATACTGAATAATCAAAGGTCTGTTCTATGTTCCGTTGGAATTTGAACCAAAGATGAAGATTATAATATAATGTTGACTGCTGTACCCCTATTTTTGACATTTTTACCTATTATGTCTGTTTGTTTTGTTCACACATCGTTGTCAATATAATGGTATTTGATGCGACTGTCATACAAGTGAGAGGTTTAGCTAGCTATAAAACCAGGTTTAATCCACCATTTTCTACATAAGAACATGCCTGTACCAAGTCAGGAATATGACAGTTGTTATCCATTCGTTTGATGTGTTTGAGCTTTATTTTGCCATTTGATTAGGGACTTTCCGTTTTTAATTTCCTCTGAGTTCAGTATTTTTGTGATTTTACTTTTTCCATCAATGTATTGGATACCTAAACTACATAAGTGTCCTTAAAACAACGGTATATTGCTGGGTCTTCCAAGTGCTCAACGAAACCCCTTTCTAAATTAGTAACATCAATTTTATCAGCAATCAAAGCCGGGCTTCAAAGTTATTGTGAAACTGCCTATTCTAGAGTTGGCGTGAATCAGATGTGGATACTAAAAAATCCCAAAGATCTTTCAGAGTACATACAATCCAAGAGTCTTTCATCTTGCAATAGTATTAAAACATTTGACTTTTCTACACTTTACACAAGTACTCCCCATTCCAAACTGAAAGACAAGTCGAAAGAGTTGGTATTGCTTTGTTTCATAAAAATAGTGGCCAACGTAGATACAAGTATCGTGTCTGATGGAGGGATAAATCCTACTTTGTAAAAAATCAAACAAAACATTATCTGAAACTGACATTATCAAGATGTTTGATTTCTTGATTGACAACATATTTGTTACGTTTCGAGGTCGTGTTTTTTCAAAAAAACTATCGGCATTCCCATGGGAACCAATTGTGCCCCTCTTCTTGCCGACTTGTTCTTTCATTCTTATGAGGCTGATTTCATACAGGAACTTATTAGGAAGAAAGAAAAGAAGTTAGCACTATCCTTTAACTTTACTTTCCGCTATATAGATGATGTTCTCTCACTGAATAATTCAAAATTTGGTGACTATGTTGAACGCATCTATCCCATCGAACTAGAGATAAAGGATACAACAGATACATAGGTCTCCCTCATATCTTCACTTACATCTAGAAATTGACAATGAGGGTCGGTTGAAAACAAAACTTTACTACAAAAGAGATGATTTCAGCTTCCCAATTGTGAACTTTCCATTTCTATGTAGCAACATTCCACCAGCGCCTGCATACGGAGTATATATCTCCCAATTAATATGCTATTCCCGGGCTTGTATTTCCTATCATGATTTCCTTGATAGAGGACTGCTACTCACAAGGAAGCTATTAAACCAAGAGTTCTAAATGGAGAAGTTGAAATCATCCCTTCGTAAATTTTACGGACGCCATCATGAGTTGGTTGACCGTTATAGAATATCCGTTTCACAGATGATATCGAATCGGTTCCTTATGTCGTAACTACTATCCCGTTCCCTTTTCACAAATTTGACCTACCGAATTAGACTATTTAACGGGTTTGTAATAACATTAGCAGCACGACGGGTGCCTCATGTGGAGCAGGATCTGCTTACCCTTCCGGAGCACCTAAGATCACCCAATGTTTTTGGTGGGGTTCGTGTTACTTCGACTTTAGTTTTCTATCTTGTGTCTTGTGTGCTATTATTTGTCTGTTTGTCTTTTTCTTTTTAAGCCATGGCGTTGTCAGTTTATTTTCGATCTATAAGTTTGAATGTCCCTCTGGTATCTTTCGCCCTTCTGTTTCAATTAACAACAATAATTCAAGGATACAAAAGCAACTGCTACAACAATAAAGCGAACAAGCATGTCAAACCAAGCTGGCAGAAACAAGTAGATACAGAAACCTGTAAGTTATTCAATAGAAGTAGTAAAGCGTACCTACTTAGCATGCAATTAGTTAATCCCCCAGCCCCTGTACCAAGTCAGGAATATGACAGTTGTTTTAAATTCTTTTAAAGCTTTTGATTTTGCCATTTGATAAAAGACTTTCCGTTTTGAATTTTTCTTGGAAATAATTATTTTTGCTAATTTACTTTTTACACTCTGATATGAAATCATGTCATTTTTACTGATATGAAATCATGTGATTTTTACTGGATATGAAATCATGTGATTTTTTACTAATATGAAATAATGTCATTCTTATATACCTTAAACTGATATGACATCGTGTGATTATTACTGATAGTGATATGCAATCATGTCATTCTTACGTACTTAAAACTGATATGAAATAAAGTCAGCCTAAAGTACTAGTCATGCTGATATTGTTAATATTATTATTATTGCCTCCAAAACCTCAGCATTGGAAGCTGATCGATGTAGAATATATTCTACAATAACGTCATAGAGAGTACACAGGTAGGTTAATGTATTGTTTTACTAAATTGTAAGCCAGCCCTTTATTTATTCTTTCCATTTATGGAATAGATTTGTTAGTCCCTGCTGTATTTTAATAAAAGGTATATCTAGTCAGCGTTCTCCTTTAACACCTTGGTTTTAACTCTTATAATTGTTCCTTTTGAACAAATAACTATACAAAAAAAATTACAAATGAAAATTTAAAAAAATCACTTTATCATAACATAAAAACTTAGATTACTTGGGAGATATACCTAAATAGGACAGCAACCCAAAACACTACGAAAATAGAATTACTTTTGGTGGTAAATGTGCATTCTTAAGTGAAAAAATATTTTTTTTATAAATATTTCAAGCTTCAAATGACACACTGAATATAGAATTCATATAATATGGTGAGTTGTGTAAGTATACACTTTTACTTTAATCCGAATATATTAAATTGATGTCTTAACCCGAATGATTTTTTTTATTAATTGTATCAGCTATGTTTCAATCCTGGCATATTAGATGCCTAATTCGTTAAAAAACATTGATTAATATTTATATAAGATAATAGGATTGAAAGACAATTCTAGGCAAATACAGTTAAATCTTTATACAATGTACCGCTTTGTTTTGTTTAAAACTTTATCAAGTATACAGCTATTATATAATAGATTATTTATATCAAGAACACACACCTTTCCATGTGTTTGTTTTCATTAGTCAATTACACAGCTCAGATTGCTCAATAATTTACCAATCTTGTAACCCGTACATTTTTCGTGGCAATATAATTTCCGATTTAGTGTTTAAATATTTTGAGAGACTGTTACATTTTCTTATTTCTTCTCCGACATGCAGCATATTTTTATAGATATCCTATTATGGTTAAGCCAAATTAAATTTAATAATACTCTTAACATATACCTTACATCCAAAAACTATACATTTCAGATTAAGGATGTACTCATGTCAGGTTAAGGAGTTTTTTCAGATGTTCGGACTCCTTGGTTTGTTTTACTTTTTACTTCGATACAGGGTAAAATATTTTGCCCAAATATCACCCACTTTAATTTTTATAGAAGACTATAATATCTCATAAAAGGTCCCAAACTTTATGCAGAATCTAGATTTCTTTTCTTACGATTTGAGACCCAATTAATGCCAAGGCTAAATATACAGAAAAAGTCCGAGTAACACTTTCCCCGCCATTTTTATAAATCATATATCTCAAAAAGGAGTTCCATAACCTTACAATAGTTTCAGTATCAATTTTAAACTCAAGAATTTTTTAATGTCACCTGACTACAGCATTAATAGCATTTTAGTTAAAAGGTATAACTGTCATGGTTATTTCGTAATTTATTGTTTTTGTATTTATGATATTGAAATTATGGTTTATACTTATAATAGATTGAGTATGTTTAGATGGTGAGTTTTTGAGGATATTAGTCCATTGAGATGCTTTCGTCAGTTTTGTCAGTTCAGCAATCCAGTTTTCCTTATTTTAAAGTTTGATAATATGTCTGTCGATAAATCATCGAATAAACCATTGTTAACTAGAATTTCTTTCGCCATATTATATGTTTCCTTATGTGAAAAAAAAGAACATGTAATCTTTTGTCTTCTGTTGTATGTATGCCTGACTTTATTGAATATTTGGAAATCTCTGAAATTTGTTTGATTTTATTTTTCTTCAAATGAAATTATATTGTCTATATTCATCTGCGGTATTAAATATTATCTTTTATCTTATTCGGAAAAATTAATTTGGCGTTATCTTCAAATTTAGTTCTAAATCTACAAACAGTAGTACTTTAATCCATTTAAGATGTATTCTTGAAATTTGAGTATCTATGCAAATCATTTTTTATACCCTTTATATGATAGTTTTACGACAAAATGTCTCCTTTAATCATATCTCGTTTTCTATTCCAAATGTTGTCATGTAACATCATTTATACGTTTTGTATACAATGTGTTGGCAATATAATATTGCTTGCCACATATGTTATATTTGGAAGTATAAAGTACACTACCATTGTGTTACTCAACTTTCTTTGTGACCAAATACTTATAATCCTGAAAATTTAATCAGCTTTTTTTTGACAAGACAATAAGTTTTGAAACTTTTCTTTATGTAGTAAAAACAAGTGCATTAACTTGTTATTGCTTCTTAGTTTTTAACCGGAGAATGAGCCAAATGTTTCTATTAATGACTTAAGTAAAGACATTTTTTCATATTTCAAAATGAGGGTTGTGTCACCTGCTAATTGACATAGTTTTATACAACGGTCAATTTTTTATTGTTAGAATTTAAACCTTTCGAAAAGTCTAGAAATACAATTTCTTCAATTACATTGAAGTTTTCAGTTTGGTGAACTACATCTTAAATTTGTCAAACGTGTCTTGTTATATAACTCATAATAAACAATTGTTAGCACATTTTAGATTTAGTGTCACCATTTTAAATAGAGTTCCACATTACTTTCGCCAAGACTAGGGGTTTGTTAAGATTATATTTTAAACACTACATCTCGCTGAGTTGACGACCCATTGTGGCCTTCGGCTGTTGTCTGCTCTTTGGTCGGGTTGTTGTCTCTTTGACATATTCCCCATTTCCATTCTAAATTTTATCTGTAATCTCTCCGCCTAATACTAACCCTTTTTTTTCTATTTACGTGTGTTGAATATATTATTATGCTGTTTTTGTCTGGGTGTGATGAGAGAAGCTTAAGATACAAAAAGGGAAATTCAATCTCATAAGTCGAAAATAAACTGACAACACCATGGTTAAAAAGACTAACAGACAAAACACAACGCAAAAACACAACATTTCAATGTTAAATACGTTAATACAAACCAAACTATATGTTTCTCGTTTTTTATATAGATTAGACCGGTGATTTTCCTGTTTGAAATGTTTTACACTAGTTATTTTGGGGACCTTTATATATTGCTGTTCGATGTGATCCAAGGCTCCGTGTTGAAGGCCGTACTTTGACCTATACTTGTTAACTTTTTTATACATTATGACTTGGAAGGAGAGTTGTCTCATTTTCACTCATACCACATCTTCTTAATCATATATGTTCAATAGTAAAATAATAGCAAAAGTTTATGCCGTGTGACAAAAACGCAGTGCTATTAATGCTATTTATTTTATTGTACATGCTGTATCTTTTTAATTTATAAAAGCAGTATTTTGGTATTGTGACCTGAAGTTTTATTCATATACAGTATCAGGTTTTAGGTAGCTGCTGAACGTAAAATTAATATTGAATCATCTATTGAATTTCTGATTTTTTTTCCTACAGAATAATTTTATTAGATAATAGTAGATATATATATATAACTTATTAAGCTTCTTAACTTGCTCTGATGTAGAATAGTACCTTCCATGGCCGAGGCAACGATGATATAAAAACACTCTTCAGTTTCAAATTATCGCCCTTCAGAATGCCCATCGTGGTTTGGAGTACCATTGCGGTTCAGAGTCCTATATATTTTTTACTTTTTTCCCGTTAGGAACACATTCTTTGATATTTCGTCCAGTGGAAATAATAATCCAGAATTTTTCTTCCATTTGGAATTAATATTATTCAACTACTATTCCATGAAACATCATACTGTGTTTTTTTTAGTTTATAGGATTTTACAAATTTTGTTTTGGAAGGTCGAACTCCATTTTTCATAATGATGTTTTGCCTTTATAATATGTATAAAAAGGAATGAAAAAAGTACAGTTGAACGTTTTTGAATAAATAAAATGATTTCTGGCTTAAATCTCAAAATGTGGGTTTTTTTATGACTGGGGATACATTGTTAAATTTTGTTCACGATTTTCACACAGACACCAGAAGTTATCCCTGTGGTGGTTGCTAATTGTACCTTTAGACTCGCCTCTTGATATTTTCAGATTTTCTTCACCAGTTAATATGTTCAGCAAAGACAAGATCAATTTTTTGAATTTTTCTCCGACGAGTCAATATGCATGTACCAAATGTATCAAGTATCGACGAATTTTAAATATCAACGAAGTACAGGTTGGTGCCCATATTGCCTTTGAACGAAACATGCAATTCTATCATGCTATCCTTTCTAACATTACAAACGTTCAAGATAGTGGTCGTGTGCAGATGCACATCATCCATGCATCATGTACAAACCAGTTGTCACTTGTAAAAAGTTTGTTTGGAAAAGATTTCAAACAGCATGATACTGTAGTTCAGGAAGTTCTCCCAGAATTAGATGCCGCTTCAGTAGGTCTACACCTAGTGCAATATGGTCGTCCAACGTATGAACATGAAAAAATATTAAGAAGAGCTTTGGCTCTTGTGGAGAAAAACCGTGGACAAGTAGTACCGGTAGGGTCTCTTTCGTCACAGAAAATTCGCCCAGAGGCACAGTTTCGTCAACATGCTCCAAACATCACATCAGGACACTTTGCAAGTTGGTGCGCGACTGGGGAAAACTTTTCTTTTGACGTAAAAGAAAAACAGAAAATGATCAAATATACTAGAGAACAGAATCAAATATCTATGTCTTTAGAAATGTTCAGTGACGAAGATCCAGTACAAAAGATTACAGAAAGACATCAACAGCAGTTAATATGTGACTCTTGTTTTCTAAAGGAACTTACCTTGCATATGAACTCTTTAAAGTGTCCCGAAAAGACATACCGCCTTATCTCGACCAATGCATGGACTAAGGAAAAGAAGATTCCGAAAGGATTGTATAGAGTAACATATACACCGACGAGTAATGAAGTTGTTATCAATATTAAGCATTACAACTCTAAATTCAAGAGACTTGCATCAGAGTCCATGAATGAAACATTCGTGTTTACACTCATCCCGGACAGAAATGTCACATGACAGAAACGTAAAATTGGGATTCCTTTATCCTTTTTTGGAAGATTCCAGAGAGTGATGACGATACACATGATAGATGACAAGAAGCGGCCAAACTGGCGATTTCACTGTTTTATAGTCTTATAGAAAATATTTATTGATACAAACAATATAGATAATTTCATATTTTATAAGCACCACTTTATGATTAATTTATATATATCTGTCATTAACAAAACTCTGATGTTTATCCTCTGTCTATGCATGGTAAGACAAAAGTCTTTGTATGAAACAGGAATGCCTAAATTTTTGTATTTATAATTTACACAAATAGATTATTGATCATGTTTTGAGATTTACTATTCATACAGTAAGGTTGGATTTGTAAAACTGTTGTACAAAGAGACAAACGATATGAAAGGGACATTAAAAAATCATCGAAAAAGTCGACAGTAAAACGACAAGATCATGATATAAAAAAAAATTTACTACAAAACTTTACACCAAAAACTAAGATTGAGGAACATGAACCCTACACAAAAACACACCACACAATAGTTATATCAGGTGTCATCGAAGTGTAAACTTGGGGCAAGCATCGTCTACATATTCGGTAATGCGTAGCTCGTATTCGGTGAGGTCATAATCGAAGACAGGCAAATAGGACTTTGACTAAGACATTTGGAACATATCCATGATATGTTGATGGGTCACTGTCGTTCACGCCCGGTAAATTCTTTATCATATTTACCTAGTTTTTAAGCTGGACTTTCATTAGTTGTATAATTTAATATTATAAAAACAGCTCCACTACATGATATCTGATTCAAATCTCATGGGGAGATAACAGTTTATCTCCTAGACAATGCTCGGAATCTCACTATCATGATATCACGTCGATTATTTCACTTAGTTAGGATGTCATGTGATTTTATGAGCTTTGATTGGTATGTTTTTGTTCTTTATGGGAACTAGGTTTTCCCCATTCCTATATATATAAAAAAAAAGATGTGGTACGATTGCCAATAAGACAAGTCTTCACAAGAGATTAAATGACACAGCAATATATTTTTTAAAGACCTTCTTAGCTAAAAATATATGCCTTATCCATTGTCAATGTTTTGTTATTGCTTGAAAAAAAAAAACGTTAATGTAAATAAAGTACAGTCGTAAAGTAAAGTTAAAGATCCTAATTTTGGATACATTAAGATATATATATATATATTGAAAACAAAGTTCAAACTTATGATTGCGTTGGATAAAAACCGCAATTTTTATACGTGTGCATGCAAAACAAATTTCTTGGTAGAGGGGTCTATATACAGCACAAACAACATTTTCCAAAAGACCTAAAAAGTGAAAAAGTATATTTTAACAAAACGCATTTGACTAGCAGGTTAAACAACGGATGTTCTTAAACCCTGCTGACTGCCATTGGCGATTGCCAAATAAACGGATCACCAGATGTAACAAAAGGCATCTTAACTATTAATTTGGTACCAAACAGAAAACAATAAACTTGCGGAAAAGATGGTATACCGCAAACAAAAGGTGCAAAAATTAGTACACCATATCCGGATTTCGACAATTAATGTCTCTTCAGTGATGTTAGGAATCGAAACGGTGTTTGGAAGGCCATATAATTTACCTCAATTTAGGATAGACTCTTGAATTTTGAAGATTCGAAATATGATGAACGGATCATATTAACCCGAAGAAAAATAAAAAACAGAAAAAAAGAAACGTAGAATAATTTTTGCCGTTTTGGAAATTCCAAAGTCAAATGGGACATCTGCATATGCCAGTCAATATTTGTGTGAAGTTTCATTAACTTTGGTGCATATTGAATTTTTGAACATTATTGCTGTTTCCATGGTAACGGCGGCCATCTTGAAAATGCCATACCCAGATTACAAATCTGCATATGCTGGTTAACATTATGGTATAGTTTCATAACAATTGGTTCATAGAATTCCAAGATATAAGCTGGACAAAAAAGTGGAAGAAAAATAAAAAACGGAAAAAAAGAAACGTAGAATAACAATATGTCACCCCAACTCCGTTGATGGTGCCATAACTAGATTTGTAATTGCTAGCAATAACGGATGGCACCTTCGTCCCCCCATTGCCATGGTAACGGCAGCCGTTTTGAAAATTCCAAAGTCAAAGAGGGCATCTACACATGCCAATTAACATTATTGCAAAGTTTCATTGAGTTTGAAGCATTTTAAAAAAAATTACATTTTTGCTGTTTCCATGGTAACGGGAGCCATTTTGGAAATTCCAAAGTCAAATGGGACATCTGCATATGCCAGTCAATATTTGTGTGAAGTTTCATTAACCTCGGTGCATATTTATTTTTTGAACAGTATTGCTGTTTCCATGGTAACGGCGGCCATCTATGCCATACCCCGATTGCAAATCTGCACATGCTGGTTAACATTATGGTATAGTTCCATAACAATTGGTTCATAGAATTCCAAGATATAAGCTGGACAAAAAAGTGAAAGAAAAATAAAAAACAGAAAAAAAGAAACGCAGAATAACAATATGTCACCCCAACTCCGTTGATGGTGCCATAACTAGATTTGTAATTGCTAGCAATAACGGATGGCACCCTCGTCCCCCCATTGCCATGGTAACGGCAGCCGTTTGGAAAATTCCAAAGTCAAAGAGGGCATCTACACATGCCAATTAACATTATTGCAAAGTTTCATTGAGTTTGAAGCATTTTAAAAAAAATTACATTTTTGCTGTTTCCATGGTAACGGGAGCCATTTTGGAAATTCCAAAGTCAAATGGGACATCTGCATATGCCAGTCAATATTTGTGTGAAGTTTCATTAACCTCGGTGCATATTTATTTTTTGAACAGTATTGCTGTTTCCATGGTAACGGCGGCCATCTATGCCATACCCCGATTGCAAATCTGCACATGCTGGTTAACATTATGGTATAGTTCCATCAACATTGGTTCATAAATTTCCGAGATATAAGCTGGACAAAAAAAGTGGAAGAAAAAGAAAAAAAAGAAAAAAAGAAACGAAGAATAACAATATTTCAACCCAACTCCGTTCAGGGTGCCATAACTAGATTTGTATTTGCTAGCATATTGCTTTTTTTTTTACTTTTTTTAGCTGTTTCCATGGAAACGGCGGCCATCTTGAAAATGCCATACCCCGGTTACAAATCTGCACATGCTGGTTAACATTATGGTATAGTTCTATAACAATTGGTTCATAGAATTCCAAGATATAAGCTGGACAAAAAAAGTGGAAGAAAAATAAAAAACGGAAAAAAAGAAACGTAGAATAACAATATGTCACCCCAACTCCGTTGGGGGTGACATAAAACGGAGTTGGTGTGACATATTGTTATTCTACGTTTCTTTTTTTTCTGTTTTTTTTATTTTGTTAAAAGCACTTTTTTCGGATTCTAAAGTAAGGCATCGAGAGTATAATCCGTTTAATTTAAAACAGTGATGATAAATCGGACGAAAATAAGCAAATGTTCATACAATAGTCCAGAAATTGACCACGACAGACGCTGCATGCAAAGGTTATTTTTCATTAAAACAAGAACTAATAACAATGACTGAAAAACGTGGTAGGTTTTTAGATAGCAAATATAAAACGAAACTACATAAACAACAAATCAATTGGAAGTTATAAGCTCAGTCGCACACATTTAATGTATATTCAAAATTAAACAAGTAAATAAGGGACTTATAAGCTTTGCATACTAGCAAAAAGGGAGAGTGATAAGTAGAAGAGGGAAAATTTAGCTTTCTACAGTGGATCCTTTTATTTTTTACAGAATGCCAGTTTTTTTATTACTTACAATGGATCGTGGTATTCTCTAAATAGATACATATGGATCCACAAAAATACTCTACATATTATAACACATGTACCACGTAAACGTAGAACCCAAGAGAAGAAGTAAATGAAGATAAACTATTAACGCAGAATTAGAATTATTTTCACATGCAGCAACATTATTGAGAACAATCTCTCATTTAGTATCAAACTGTAATTAAGGTCATATAGACCATCGCACTTAAGAGTAGACCATCGCACTTCAGCGTGACCATCGCACTTCAGCATCCCCATTGCACCTCCGAGTCCTACATATATATGAAATGTATTACGACCTAACACTAGTAAACCGATGTTAATATTAACTGTCATTTTGATCAGGTTGTAAAATACTGAACAATAAATTATTTCGTCATCTTCAGTCTTTCAGACAGTTTTCAGACTTATCCACTACTGCTTGCAATCAATTGAGATATGTTGACTATATGCGCAGAATGTTAAGTAGTTGTTGTTTACCTGTAAACATAAACATCAAACAAAATTGTCTGAAAAGCTACTTATGAGTATTGAGCTCGCAAATTGTCTGAATAGTACCGAATTTGCCCCAATGGATAACTCACAACATTGACTGTAGACAGGACATGATTGAATGATTTTGGTCAGACTTTTGCAGATGATGTTCAGATCAAAATGACCCTTTAAGACTAAATGTCATTTTCTTGTGCCAAGGGTTAACTTAAAAGGAAAATACAGTACTAGCTTTCCGGTACAACAGGAGTCCGTCTAAGTGGTATCATGTCCACACAACCTCATAACATATACGCCGACGACTTGTTGAGGCAATTCGAATGCTCACTTATGGGTTTATATGTTATGTTATGATTTTGTAGATGCATAATCACAAGAACGCATATATAATATTCACCAAGAAAAGAACATTCTTTTTAAACAAAATGCAAAATAATTCCAAAGCCGAGACAGACAATACTTCGCATTTGGGAATTTTAAGATCCCCAAGAAACGAAAACCTCATAAATATTGAAGATCGCATTAATAACGACCGACGAACTTCCTGTTTATTGCTGTCAATAGGAGTTCATGGAACAAACGGTTCAGATTCCAGAAATTCATATAACAGCATCAGTAGCAATATACTCACTACTTGGTGCACTTTGTATAGAAAAAAAGATAGTTAGTCTTCAACACTCCGTTCCTTCTTCTGAGGCTCAAAACCTAAGGTAATTTTGATGCGTCAGTACCGAATAGAAATATATTACTTGACCTTTTCCTATATACCTGAATATATCCTCTTTCAATATGGCTCACCTAAATAAAAGAACTTCTAGCTAGTTTTTATACAGGTAAAAAATAGTTAGGTTTGCTATACACAAATGTTGGAACCAAACATTTAGGTCACTCAGTACAGAGCTCGGGAGGTCGACTCTAAATCATCTTTGTAATGACATTCTGAT